ATGTGTGTTATCATCGACCACAGACAACAGCCGAGGTATGCTGTGTTCGCAGAAAAGTATCCGATGGGTGGATGTATCGTATTTTTTGTGTTTGCCTAAATCAGAGGATTAGGTAAAATTTATTTGCAGACCTTATTTGTCTAAGATTATAACGACGGACTCCCAGAGGACGCGCACAGACGTGGCGGGATCGGAGCGGATCCCCACAGACGTGGCGGGATCGGAGCGGATCCTCACAGACGTGGCGGGATCGGAGCGGATCCCCACAGATGTGGCGGGATCGGAGCGGACACCCACAGACGTAGCTGCCATTTCTTCCAAAGGAGTGTTGGCTGTCATTCGATTCGTCTCATATTAATCTGCTACTATTTTTTTTTTTGAAAGATGCAGGTGTGTTTGAAAGGAGGTGAAATTTCATGAATCGCTTAAGATAGACACATTTCTTACATAAGACATATCAACAGCAAAAAAAGCTTCATTTTTGCGCCGGGTTGTCCCAGCCCTCTGGACTTTGGCAATTATCTTTCCATGCACGAACTGCAGCATCGGCAGCAAAATATACGCAGAACTCCATACACATTCTTTTCCATTTGATGGTTTTGCATGCACTATGACTTCATTTAAGGTGCTATGTTTCCGAGCGAGCATCGAGGGGCGGCATGCAAACCCCGTACAATACACATCTACACGACCCGAGACAAAAAACAACAACACGTCAATTCATTCGTCGATCTGATCTGATCTGGCCTTTCGTCGCAAAGCTATTGAATGAATGCTAACATATGGTACACAATTTATTTGTCCCATTTTTTATACATAGTTTAGTCCACACCACCTTGTTAAGGCGTGCTTGTTGCGTGAGACCTCACCCAATCATCCGGGTGCGTTACTTTCTAGAATCGGTAGGCGACTAAGCCTCGACTGCTACCGAAGCGTGATTACTCCCGGATTCCGGTCACTTTAATTTACTTATTTAATACACAAGTGAAACGCAAAACGTTGTTATATTTGGTCCATACTTGTCCTTGGCTGGAGCAGCCTGCAGTCAGTGGCAGTGGCCGCGCTCACGGTCAGGTAATGTCAGAGGGCATGTATGCTGTGCCGAACATTGCGGCACGGTAGCCTTTCTCCGCGAAATTAAGCCCCGGACCCAGAACCTCACGATCAGAGGGTGGGGTCAGGACTCGCGCAGCCAGCGCTGCTCACCGCGGGCGCTAGGCGTCCAGTCAAAACCTTGGGCATGAATTTGTTTTTAAAATAATAACCTCAGCGCGGGCGCTCATTCTAGAAATGCATCTGTTCAAAACTGCGGGAATACATTTTTAAAACTAATTACCTCTAAACTAACACTCAAAAACATTTGAATTCGGCACACCGCATGAAAGCTATGGAAGAAGTCCCTGTGTGACAAATGCGAGGAGCGATGTGTGCATCAGCTCATCCCCAGGCGTGTGGGAGTGTCGTGCTACAACACCTTTTTCTTTCCCGTGAGAAAGGGCATCGGGAACGGTTCGTGAGGTTTCCCGATTGCGCCGAAGTTCTCGGCCTGGCAGTGCAAAAATGTCAGATTCGCAAGCATGTCGTCGATAGGTCAAACAAACCGGCTGTGTCTAAATGGAATAACAGGGTGACCCTGGAAGCCAACCCACATTTTCCTCAACATTGACATAAGCATTCCTCGCACAAGCAAGACTGTGGTGACATTGAACTGGCCATCCAATCGTAAAACACGTTCATAACGCTGACATCACATATATCGAATCGTGATTGTACAGAAGATGCTTCTTTGAAGGCGAGAACGAGGATCATGTCAACGTTACCTGAGAACGCTACATCGCTACCGATCTGATACCCGCCTGCGTGACCCTGGAGTAATTTCACGGGATCGATCGGGACAGGGAGCGGGTCCAGCTGGGCGGGGCCACACCGCACATGGCACGGGCTTCATTGCATTAGTTGGGGGAGCATTTTTCCTGAATGCGCATCAACTTTCGTGACTGACGTGTGCTAGCGAAAACGATAGTGTATCTGAAAAAAGTTCACGGCACCGCAAGCCGGCGTCAGAATTTGGTGGTGAAACCGAATATGGTAGTGGTGGACAAGTAAGGGTAGGACATCTATTTCTGCGTTGCTGTCGCTGTTAACCTACTCTGAGGACGGACGCAGTCTATGCCCTAAAATACATTTTGAACGGTAAGAAGTCATCTTTAAATATTTCAATTCATTTTTCATTATTTCGCAACGGCCGTATTCGAGAGCCAGGCGCCGCCGCTCGAAATTCGCTGCAGCGGCCAACGTCGCTTGGCAGCTGCAACCCCAGCCATCGCTGGTCTCGCTCCTAATATTGCGATCAGGCAGGCTCAACACTTAAAGCAATTTGTTTCACTGGTCGATTTGCAACAAGAATGGGTGTCCTTGTTTGTGTTGATTTTTTCATTTTTGACCTCATTTCGATCCACCCAATTGAACACTATAAAAACTCTAAAAACTCTAAAAAAAAACTACATTTTCTGGGCAAGGGGCCGCACGGGCAGAACACTATGGGACACAGTCTATTTCCAAGTTAGGGGCTAAAGGGCCATCCCGGTCCAGCGCAGGGTGGAACGTAGGGTGAGCGTAGGCTGTCACCGGCTACCTGCCGGCGACACGAGCATACACGGGCACGACACGGCGACACAGGCAGAGTCCCCATGCCAATAAAGAAGCCTTAGAGGGACCAATCATACATTAGTCGACCGCCTAACGCCGGAGGCCCCTGACTGGACATTAAGCCCCTGATCAACACATGAGCCCACAATGACGCAAAACATCACTTGTCACCAAAGGTGTTCATCAGTGGCACAGGGATTCAAGTACGGAAATGGGTCCCTGGCTGGAACGGTATGGAGGGGCCCCCCGTTCGGTGCTAGGACCCCTGACTGACACATGGTATTTCATTGTATCAATGCCGACTCTAATCGTAAGCTCTTATGTCCACTGCCATTGTCGGGGACCGGGGGGGGGGGGGGGGGACCAACGCAAGAGGCCCGCTGGCATTCAGGGTCCCATCCCAGTCCCTGTTCAGACTATGTTCCTCCGACCGACTCGGAGCCCATCAACGGCACAGGGCCCTTTGTAAGGTATTATGGGCCTTAGGCGGCCGCTCATTGTAACAGAGGCCCCAACCAATGCAAATCACGGGCCCGGTCTTGTCACTGCTTAGGAAATGGGCCATCGCGCTGAGACTAACACGGGGCCAACTGCCAAGACAGGCCCACATTGCCTCAGGGTGTCCCTAACCGGTGCACGAGGCCTTCTGACATTTGAGGGCACGGCCCTGAGGGCCTGGATCACCTACAGCCAGCTCTTGATGCTTAGTACTATCAGCTCAAATGCCCGATGGGCCTCCCATCGGGCATTTGATCGTTGGTTCCGAGAGGCCTTTCGGTCCATCTGAGAACCCCCTCGAACACTGCCCCAGAGAGACTCTGGGCTCCTTGCCAACACAGGACCTCTGGTAGGCATTGAACGCCCCTGGCCGACACAGAGGGGTTATAATTGACTTCCGGGTCCGACCAAAGTGGATCACGGGCCCGGCCTTGTCCCTGCTTGGGAAATGAGTCCCCAGTGCCAGACCTCATGCTGGGGTGATCTGGTGGCGAATCTGTCGCGCGTCACGGTCGTCAACCCACCACAGGGATAAAGCTTCGCAAAATAGGCTCGGGGGAGGGGGCTGGGCGGGGAAAACCCAGCCCTAGACGCGCCAAAAAGCGGGTGCCCTTCCGGTTTTAACCCTCTTTTGTCTTAACGTTATGGAGTTTGAATCCTGCCCAACTGGACGAAGGAAGCATATAACAGCCCTGCTGAAATATGCTTTCTCGCTTTGTCTTGGTGGAAGATGCTGCCGTTGGGCATCGTTGTCACCTTGTTTGGTGTCGATCACCGACACCCGGTTTCGGCAATCGACATAGGATCGATGTTACGTGCTCTCAGACGGCGTTGAACATGAACAGTTTCGGAAGTAAACAGTGTTAATGTTGTACGTGACTGATTAAGGCTGCCACGGAAACCCCTGGCCGGTGGCCGTAGGGTGAGGTGCAGGCTACGACGCAGCATTCCGTTAGGCATGTTGGATACCGCCCGTGATGTGTTGGTGCTCTTCGTCGGACGATTACCGCTATCGGCTTTGGGTCGGCTGGTGTCGATCATCATGCTTTTACAACTATTCCATGGGGTGTTCACGTCGAAGTGGATGTTGGCACATTTCAAAGGTTCTTGCGAACGTAGACGATAAATAAATTGGTCATGTTTTAGGAGCTAACTTGAAATGTTTGTTTCGTTTTCCGATGAGACGTCGCGGCGGAATGACGCAACTTTCAGCAGTCAATCATCCTACTGCTGCAGACTAGAAGTCAACACATCAATGAATAGTGTAGTTGAAAACAAACAGCATGCAGAATGAATCTGAACACCCAAGTAAACACAGTATGAGTGCGGAGCCTTAGAAGTGGCTGAGCCACCTGGACTCAACCAAACATGACTTAATTTTTATTTTGTTCCCTTTAGCCGCGGAACAATGAGAAACATTTTGTAACACGGATTACAACAGTAGCCGTGCCAAACACGCCCCAAGAGGCGCTCCAAAATTATTGACTGATTTTGAGCTTCAATTTGTATTGCTGTCTGTGTATTTCGGTGCCAGAAGGTGGGAGGGGCAGACTCACTATTGCGGGGAGGGGGGGGGGGCAGTGGCCCACCCAAAGGAATGCCCATTGACACCCACGCATGAACAGCCCAAACCGAACTAGGGCTCAGATTTCTCGCGTACTGAGTCTCTCCCAGACGAGTAAACGCCGCATTGCGGCCTTGCTGCGGCCATCTCGCCTCACACCGTGCAGCCTTGCAGCGAACCCCCGCCAGTCTGCCGCCAGGGCGTCTTGGTCGGAATTTCGGCTCAGCTGGCGCGCTCCCAGTGCTTCTACACGCGTGTCACGCTCCAGCTCACAGGTCGAACACGGAACTGTTCTTTATAAAAGTTTATTGGAGCGGTGATCGACCCCGAAAGCGTGACACCAGGTCGACAGGGCGGCGGTCATAGCCTCAAAGCACATGCACAACGCAAATGGCTGCAGCAGAAACGTGGTTGGTGCACCAATTCCTAAATATGTCCACTGGCGGAAGGAACTAAAATGATCGAACATACACTGCCAATGGTTGAAATCGTTTCACATATAAAGCCGGTGAACAGCGACGTTTCACTGGTATCCAGCTCCAGCATATTTCACATTCGGCGAGATCTGCACAACAAAACTGATTCGACGACCTCGACTGGGTGACAGTAATTGCATTCGCGGGCCCAAAATCCCCTTCTAGGCTAAGCCGGCCGATCGTGTCACCGCTTCTCCCTCGTCTATGGTACAACAGCTAAAATCAAGTCGCAGCGAAAGCTCAAAGCACGTAGACAAAGTAGCGCGCACTGGCACACCACCAACGCGCATCCCCCTCTCTCTGGACCATCGTCCAGCGAAGCGGAGGGCAGGCCCGGCGGAGGTGTCACGCACTCCGGACAGACCGAGGCGCGCGGGCGCTACTCACACTTTACACAACACCACAGTCTGCGCGCAGGGCGGAGCGGGGAGGGGAGGAAGGGCCGCGGCCACGGCCGGGACAGGGCAGAGTTCTGCACAGTGACACGTACGTATGGGGAGGGGGGGGGGGGGGGGCGAACGCGGCGGGCCGGCTCTACAGGTCCGTGTCGTACCACGCGGCCATCTGGCGGCAGAGGGGCGCGGTTAGAGTTGGTGCGCCGCTCACGGCACCACACGAGGGCAGACAGCCCAGAGCGCGCCTGATTCCGATGAGCAAGTTAACAGTTATTACATCTGAGGCAGACGCAACAAACACACAATGACCAAGACGTTGGTTTTCTGTCGATGCGACGCATGTCGTCAGACATGCCTTTCCGGTGTTAACGTCGACAAACAAACAAAACAATAGATGACACATGCTGTGACAAGCTAAACAGCTCAACAGCCACGGTGATTTTCGCCCGGCAATGCCCCGTGCACATCTCACATCCTCCCCTTCACACTAAAAATAAACCGACACGCAAGGCTGAGCCAAGCATCGTCTCCGACATCGCCCCACCCGGCATCTAAACACCCGCCCCACGGGTCCAGCAGAATCTCACATCCCAAACCACACCACCTGGCCCCGGCCCAGCCCCGGTCCCGGCTCACCCCCCGTCACCGCTGGCCCGTTACCTGGTTGTTTTCGCGCGGCGGCTGCGGCGGCAGGTCGCCCATGCCGTCGAAGCCCAGGTCGGGCGGCACGGAGCCGGGCGGCCCCACGTCCATGGCGTCCAGCGGGCCGTAGTTGCTGCCGGGGCCGGCCGAGCCCAGCTCGAGTCCCTCCATCGAAGCCACCGGCACCGGGTCGTAGCCTGCCGCCGCGGCACGCGCCGTTAGTCGTCAGCGCGAGCGGAGTCGGCGCTGCGGGGGGGGGGGGCGCCGCTGCCGACGCCGTGGCGGCAGGCGCCGCCCGCGCCACGACGCAGCCTAATGTGAGAGGTCGCAGGCTACAGCGATGACCGCTAGAGGGACGATGACCTGGGCGGAGCAGAGCGACGAATGGAGGGCAGCGCCACCTCGTACGGGGAATAGAGGAACGACGCTGTCCTCTCCTCCCCCCACGTCTACAACACCCGCGTGTGGATCACGACGGGTCACCTCCCACACGTATCCTTCCCGATCAACGCCGCGATCAACACATTCCGATGACATTTCCCGTAAGCTGGCTGCGCCCCGACTGCCGCGCGCCGCACGACAGCGCGCCGCTACTGACCCTGGCCGTAGGCGCCGTGGCCGGAGTGCACGCTGGGTGGGCCCTGGCTGTAGAGGCCCTCGTAGCCCTGCTCCTGCGCCAGCATGTCCTGCAGGTCGGGCGGCATGCCCATGTCGCCGCCGTTCCACATGCCGCCGTCGTCGCGGATCAGCGAGTTGGTCAGCTCCATGGAGAGCCGCTTCTTGTAGTCGTGCGGCTTGTCCTCCGACATGCGGAACAGCACGGCGGCCGCGTACGTCGCTGCGGCGGAGGCCAGGACGCGGCCGGTCACGGGACGCGTCCGGCGGTCGAGGTGGGAGGGGGAGGGGGAGGGAGACGGAGCGCGGAGAGCCAGACCAAGCTCGTTAGCGCCGCTCCAAACCGTTCAGCCATCTGGTGAAGCTGACAGCGAAAAGCGGGTCCCACGCAGGAAATCGCAATAAAATGCTTTTTTTGTATGAGTGAGTGGAATAAAGCCAGAGCATATTTTGGCATGGCGTGGTAGGCGTAAGGCGACATGTCCTGGTAGCTGGAGAGCTCCTGTCGGCTGAGTGGTACTCTTTTGCCGGCCCTGACAACCGATCACACTTGCACGACCTCGACGAAGTCAGCGCCAGCCGTTTCGGGGCCTTTCCTCCGACTCATCTCATTCGCCATCACTCCACACACAGCTATCCATCAACCTGTCTGATGCACACTATCCCACTAATGTCTCATCCTTCCCCACCCGCGCGAACTGAGGCTGTCCTCGCACGAACAATCCACATGACATGCACTATAATCTCCCAAGCTTACTTTACTTGCCTAACTCCTCATCCCAGATACTGTCCATTCCCATGCTACGTCACCACCAAAGCAACACTCCCAGCCACACCTAACTGCCCTCGTGTCGGCCCTGCCGCGGGAACACTCCACCGAGAAGAGGACATCCCGCCCCGCTCCGCCCCGCCCGTCCACTGACCGACGCCCTCGTTGCGCGAGTGCAGCAGGTCGGTGAGCGGCGCGGTGGCGCCCTCACGCTCGATCATCTCGGCGCCCTCCTTGTCGGCGGCCAGCTCGCACAGCACGCCGGCCGCCACGCGCTGGATGTTGTCAAACTCGTTGAACAGCAGCTGCCGGCGAGAGCGGGGTGCTCCGGTGAGGCGCCGCCGCCCGAGGTCACTTGGCCGCACACCGGCAGACCGGCCGGGAGGGAGCTCGTGTGTGTCGGGTCAGAGCCGCGCCCCGGAGCGGCAGTCTGAGTGTCGCCACGGTCGGACCACCCGCCAGGACGCGCAGACTCAGCGGTCGTTCATACACTGACAACCCCTACACCACACAGCGACATGACTTTTAGTGCAAAACCCTAGGCAGACTTTATCTATATGCAACATTACTTCTACCGCAAAGCCTTCAGCAAGACATGAGCGCGACGTGACAAAATTTATGGTTCAAGAACTTATACACGTCATAACATCGCCTACAAAAATGTTTACAGTCTTAACTTATAAGCAACATTACCTCTACTGTGACAAATCAAACATGACGTGAATATTACACAACAAAACGAAACTGCAAAGACATACGCCAGCCATTAGCTCTGCAGCAGACTAGAGCACATGTATGTGCACTAGCACTAATGACGCGCGTAAGTCTTTGCAGTAGAAATAATGCCGTGCATAATCGATGGCTGTATAGACTTCTACACTGGAGGTAATACCGAGTATGAGTTTTTAAAGATGAGTTCTGTCAGCGACACTAGTATCGTGCATAAGTCGTGTATAAGTTACGACTGCATAAGTATTTGCGGTACAGGTGATGATGAGCTTAAGTTTTTGAAGCATAAGTTCTGCTATGTAGCAATATCGTGTCTAAGTATTAGGAGTAACAGTAAAACAGTGATGTAACATTCCTGCCGGTGCGAGTTTTGTCGCAGCACATATGCCGTAGAGCCCTGCACAGCTGATCGCCACATGACTTCTCTGCCACGTTCGAACATCGAAACGCACGCACACGCGCACACTCGCATGCATGCCGCCCGGACGACTAGCACGAAAACGGATGGGCTATGATGCGATAACCGCGATGACGGCGGCAGCGACATCCGTGCAGTACTGCTTCGCCAAGGTGAAAAACGCCAGGTCCCGCCGAGATTTGAACTCGGATCGCAGGATTCAGAGTCCTGAGTGCTAACCGTTACACCACGGGGCCGCTGACCGTCCCACCCGCGGAATAACCCAAAACGAAGACGCCACTGACCGGGACCCTTTCACCGGCGCGCTCACCTGAACAAAGATGGGGATGACGGACTGGGAGCGCAGCTCGGCGCGGTTGTGCGCCTCGCGCGCCAGGATATGCAGCGCGCCGACTGTGCCCTCGACGATCTCCTCCATGCGCACGCCGTCGGTGTAGGAGCCGCCGGCGGCGCCGCTGCCGGCCGCGCCGCGCTGCGAGTCCTGGAAGGCGCGCACCAGCAGCTGCACCAGCCGGCCGATAGTGCCCTGCTCGCGCAGCGGGCCGTGGTTGGCCGGACTCAGCGCCAGGTTGCGGATCAGACCTGCCGACACCAGAGACGAGGGTCCACGGTCACCGGCCGGCGAGGCGCTGCATGTGACCTTTGAAAAGTCATCAAGGTACAAGCCAACGTGTACCCAACACACGATACAACACATAAACCCGACTGCCGCAAACAACGTACCTCACACAACAACGCCCCTGTTCCTAGGTACCGGTGGCGCCGTGGTTAAGCAGTGCGTCTGAAAACCAGACCTACGGGGCTCGATCCTCCGCGGCGCCCGCCTCTCCTGCCAGGGTGAGAACCAGACGCCTCCGCACAGCCTCAGCAGCAGCTGAGTACGTCAGTAAGGCCCCCTGCCCACAACACGGCCGCAGCCGGCCACTGACCGATGACGGCCTTGATGAGCGGCCACCGGCTGGGCGGGTGCAGCAGCTTGCAGATGACCGGCAGGCCGTTGTTGAGCCGGACGGCGTTCTGCGCCATGTCGGCCTCCGGATGGCGGGAGGTCAGGTGACGCAGCGCGCACACGGCCGGCTCGGTGATCTCCTCGCGGTCGTCGGCACTGTAGATGGTGCTGATGAGGGCATCGATGCCGCCCACCTGGCACACGACCACCTGCCGGGGAGGGACAGTGGTCAGCCCGGGAGAGACGGAGGATCAAACGGTGAGGGACGGGTTACCCAGGGAGGCGGGGGTCACCCAGGGATGGACGGGCGTCATCCGACCAAGGACGGAGGTCATCCGGAGAGGGAAGCGACGACTGACACCCGGAAAGAGACTGGGGTCACCGGTCTGATGGACCATCACGCACGACAGGGGGACGGAGGTCACACGAGTGGAGGGGGAAGAAAGTCACACAGGGAGGCACGCCCCCCCCCCCCCCCCGGAGAGGGAAGCGACGGCTGACATCCGGAAAGAGACTGGGGTCACCGGTATGATGGACCATCACGCACGGCAGGGGGACGGAGGTCACACGGGTGGAGGGGGAAGAAAGTCACACAGGGAGGCACGCCCCCCCCCCCCCCCCCCGGAGAGGGGAAACGACGGCTGACACCCGAAAAGAGACGGGGGTCACCGGTCTGAAGGGCCATCACGCACGGCAGGGGGAAGGAGGTCACACGCGGCATACGTCGGTCTCGCACTTGCCATGGGCTACCTCAACAGTGTTTGAGACAAACATATGCACGTTCGCGCGAACAAGCAGAATGATTGACAACTTTTCCCTTGCACACAAATTTGGCGGCCATCCGAGACCAGTTCATTCCACTTTCTCTCCAAGGCACGCCTCCGAGCGCACGGAGACCCGGCCCGTCGCGCCTCACCTTGTTCCTCTGGTTGTTGCAGGTGAGGTTGCTGAGGATGCCGGCGGCGCAGGTGACGACGTTGACGTCGCAGGAGCCCAGCAGCTGCACCAGCGAGCTCACCATGCCCTCGATGCCGTCCTGCGCGCGGCGTCACACGGCGTCACGCGGCGACCGGCCGCAGCGGCGCGCTGCTCATGCCCGGCGCTGGACCCAGTATACTCGGATGGGCCGATAAGTGTCTCAATAAGCTGGCCATTTCGCCGAAAACGAACACAACTCTCGGGTCGTGCGTTTGAGACCTAGAGCAGTTGTGGAGCATACCATACGTACTGCATATTGCACATTAACCTGGTATTCGGCACGCGAATGTCGCGAATGTGTTCATTCTGTTCCAATCAGTACGATCTAACCGTCTGAAAGTATGACCGTCTTATCTATCCCTGCTCCGACCAAGACAGCTACCCCGTCCAAGCAGCCTAACCCTGTCTCCAACCCTGCTAAAAGGCCAAAATTAGCAGGGCAGGAGCACAACTCCAGAAACTCCGGTCGCAACGTAAACATCAGCGTGCCCTGCACATACCCACGGCGCCAATACCCGCGCCACAACCGTGCAGCTAAGCCCAAGTTCGCGGCTACTTCTGCCCGCGTTACTTAAACACCATAGTGCCAACCATCGCACAGACCCCACCAATCTAAACCCTCTGCAATCCGCGCCCTCCCACCTGCCCTCTCCCCCGCCGCTCGCCGGCGGACGACTGACCACTTTGGTGGCGGCGTCGGAGAGGTTGCGCAGCGTCCAGAGGCAGTTCTGCACGAGCCGCTGCGACTGGTGGCCCAGGTGCATGGCCAGCGCCTGCACGCCGCCGGCGTCCACCACGGCCGGCTTGTTGGACGAGCACACCGACAGCACCTGGCGGGCGCGCGCCGGACACCGACCGTCAGATGCGTCACGCCAGGGTGATGATAATGGTGATAATTGGGGTTATAGGGCGCGCCGACTTCTGGGGTCATTTTGCGCCCAGATGGTGATGGTAATGGTGTGATGATGCCCGGGGGCTCGGCCACGGCTAGCGCTCGGCCATGCAGCCCAAGAAACTCGGTCAGGAAATGCACGCTGACAACGGAACCGGCCAGCATTGGAGCTTTCCGACGCACAGATTTGGGGTGATGCGACGACCCACACGCAATGTGGGTCGCTATCCTGATCACAGTAGTGGGAGATGGAGGAGACTTTCGGGCTGTTCATCGATGGGCCACACGGCAACCAAAGCGTCCGATGGTGTCCAATGGACGAGACTTTCGGGCTGTTCATCGATGGGGTACGCGGCATTCAAGAGTCCAGTTCAATGATCAGGACGACGGGCGCGAGCACCGACCATAACGCAGACCGCACGCAACAGTCTGCAAACGCCACGTCAGGGGCGTGCTGGCCTGTAGCAGTAGGCAAACACACGAGCGCATTGGACGACAAGGCCAGCTGCCTTCCACTGATGCCAGCTTTGAACTGGTGTATCAATGGCTAATGACGTGGAGCTCCGCTGAACCTGACGCTATGCAACTGAGAAAGCTCTCGGAACTGTTTTACATGCAGTCAGAGGCCCACCTGCTCACTGAAAGAAGGCTGTGGGTGCTGTGGGTGCTTCTACATACGACGAAGCCCAGCGGCCGTTAGTCAGCTTACTAACTTGGCCTCTACTATCTTCTCGAAAGTTTGTGAACCACATCACTGGAGACCTGCCTCCCCTCCGCTGCTCACACTACTGACCTTGAGAACGCGCGAGGTCGTCCAAAGCAGCTTCTCGTAGGTGTAGCTCCTCATGATGCGCACCAGCTCCACGGGCCCCTGCGACGCCAGGATGATGAGCTTGCTCTCCTGGTTGCCGTAGGCCAGGATCTGCAGGCAGTCAGTGACGATGGCCAGGAACTTGACGTTGTTACGCTGTAGGAGCGCCACCATCTTCTGCAGGCCGCCGGCCAACCGGACAGCCGTCTTGGAGCCCTCCTGGTGCAGCAGCAGGTTGTGCAGCGTCGTGATGGCGTAGAACAGCACCGACTCCACGGGCGAGCTGTACGGACACGGACACCGGTCAGCTGTCGCGGCGGCTCGCTCGGCAGCGCCGCTCTCTCCGGCAGCGCACTCACACTCACACGGCTGATGGAATATGTGGAGGCTACGCAGAGGCCGACAGAGACGGGCTGCCGTTCTGGGAGCGCGGTCCGAGGCCGTGTCGCTTTTGCAACCCCATGGGAGTGTCCGTTTATCAAACAGCACGGGCAGCAGCGGAAAGAGCCAACTGACGATCGTTGAGAAGCACGAGGAATCCCGGCGGCTTACAGGACGACGGGGTGAGCCGCCACGCGGCTGTCCGCAGCAAACAACGACAGAAAACACGGTCCGATGCCCGCACACACCACCTCTAGCGTTCACACACCGCTTCACGCAGGAGTCTGGCACGCCCATCCCTATTCGATACACACGCATTCCCGCCGACCGTGCACTGGCGTGCACAGCACACCACGACAAGGACCATCACCGCAGCCGACGTCACCACCGCCACACCGCCCTCAGCGCCGATCCCAGCGCCGGCAGGACGACCGGCAGCCAGCGGCGCCGACTCACCTGAGCAGCTTGACCAGCGCCGGCACGCCGCCTGACTTGAAGATGGCCAGCAGGCCCTGCCGGTGGTGCGACAGGTTGTGCAGCGTGCCCACCGTCACGCGCGTCATCTCCAGGTCATTGCTGTTGGTGAGCGCGCGCACCAGGGCCGCCACCATCTGAAACACGCGCCACCCCACGCTCAGGTCAGGTCAGGTCAGGTCAGGTCAGGTCAGGTCAAGATCCAGTGGGGACGCGATCAGGGGCGGCTGTCATGGAAGGCAGCGGCTGAAATATTACTTCCGTGGCTAAGACGGACAATGCAGCCAAACACAGAACGCCGTCAGTTACTTAGATCATTGAAATGCGACTGATGGGGTGTGACTGAAGAGCGGTTGGAGCCAAACGTGGCTCCACTTCAAAGACAGGGCAAATTTCGCGCATGGGCGGTCTCAGTCGTCAAAGGGAGGTTTTTCAACCTAGTCAAAGGCTGCCTTAAAGCATATTTAAGCTGCTTTCCCGGTACAAGATATGGCTATGAGCATGTGCCAGTTCCAATAATGTTGGAAATCAATAACCTGGTCAATTATTTAACAATGTTCACTCTATGCAACATTCATGACATTGACGTCGGAATGCCTGTAGGTAGCTGCTTGCGAAGGGCTACCGAGCAGGTTTATGTACGCACAGTTGCATAAGTTTATACTTAAGAATGATGCGACAAACATAATAATTGCAGGGGAAAACGAAACTCATTCATCATGGGGTTTGAAATCGCTCAGCACTAGTCTTTTTCGATGCATTGTGCAATCTTTGGGGAGAGGATGACGCTTAAATTCGACGATCATCCGTGCCGCGCGATGTTACATGCCGTGCCCGTTCACCGAAACCTCTGCTCGCCGGCGTATCCGAAGACGCATACACAGTTACGAACACCGGACCATCTGATATCCCGCACAACCGACCTTGAAAGCCGGCCAGTCTCTGTGTTCAGATTAAGCCTTTCCAGGAATGCGGAATGCATACGAAATCGGATAGCTCCCAACTGCATGCAAATGAGATCGAATGCATGCAAACTTCCTGGAAGCCATCACCTAGATAGTTAAAACAACAAGTTGACCACAAGGCAGGAATAAGTGCCGTCGCAGCGCCCCTCTCCCAGACGTTAAGTGCGATGCACACGTAACGTGTCTGATCACATCGGTGGCTCCACTCCAATTTCAGTTTTTATTTTGATGTCCGGCAACCACTCCACAGCCCCATGCCAAATCACCCAAAAATACGCTCTTGCTAAGAACGCAGCCACCCCTGATCCGTTTGATGTTGCCGCGGTGGCCCGAGGCGGCACCGGAGCGGCGCAGGCCTCAGCCAAACGCAGCCACCCCGACGTGACTCATAAAGCCCACACACACACCGGCCCGGCCGTCGAGTGTCGGCCGGCAGCCCGTTACCTGGTTGAAGCCCTGCCGCGTGAAACAGAGTACATTTGTTGAGCGGCACGATCAGACGGAGTCGTTGGGGAGGGGGGGGGGGGGGGGGGTCACGCGCCGTTCGCTCACGGGCGGCCGACCTCACAGGGGGTAATGGACCGACGGGTGTGCCTCTGATCCCTCGCCAGCGACGCTGGGGGCCGCACGCGCCCGGCACAGGGCCATCTGGGGCTTGCTGGGATACTCGCCCATCAGAGGTCAAAACAGGGTACAAAGTCATGAAGGATCAGCACGGGTTCACAGCCCTCCCTCCCTCTCCCCCACCCGATACTGTTCACACTGCAAGACGTTCACTGTGCGCCGTGTTTTACTTCACTCCTGCGGAGTTTGAGCCCTTCCACCTCCCAACCTTTTTGGCTCGCCGCGTCACAACCAGCCCATTAACTGTGATGCCCAATGGCAACAGCACAACTCAATTCTTAAAATAAATATAAATGAAGCATTCCCTACCCCCGTGACATTCATCTCCCCACTCCGCCGCCGGGTCACTGGGTCCGCTTTATCCCGACTCGGCCCTCCAGTCCACCGCAGCCGGCGGCCAGTGGCCGGCTCGCGCTCACGTGCACACAATTACGACCGGGTAATGCCGTCGGGCGGCATTCCCGCCAGCACGTCCGGCTCGGCCCGGCGTTACTGGACCGGACGGCGGGTGGCGTGCGGCCGCGGCGGCCGGGTGGGCGGCCGCGGCCGGACCGGCGGCCTCGAGCACGCAAACGCAGACCCGCACCGCCCGCGGCCGCACGCAGATGGCGGGGAGGCCAGCAGGTGACCGGAGAGCAGAAGGAGGTAGGGAGTTGAGAGAGACAGCGCGCAGGGCGGAAGGGGTGCGGTCATTCCGCCGCCGGCTGAGTCGATCGCAGAGCTCCCGCGGACCAGCCGCCGGCACGGAACTGACGCAACACCGCCAGTTTAGCCCGTCATAATCCGCAGAGCCACGCACCCTCGCCGAGCAGCCCCTCGGCCCGGCCCGCCGCCCTCGGCCCACCTGCGGCGAGTTCATGATGGCGTGACGCGAGGCCTCCTTCTTGCTCAGCTGATGCACCATCATGGCCGCCTGCGACACCACCACCTGGTCCTCGTCGTTCAGCAGCTTGATGAGCTCGGGGATGGCGCGGGTGGCCAGATCGGCGTCGTCCTGCGAGGCGCCGCGCGGCCGGGTCAGGGCGACACCGCCACGAGGCATCTCGGAAGAAGCCCACACGATACAGACATGGCCTTTGTAAGGTACGAGTCGCCATCCCCAACACGCAACGGAGGCGCGCCGCCTCAACAGGAGGTGGGTTGACAGCTGACAGTTGTATCCTTCTTTCACCCTGTGACAGATCTCATGATGCCCATGCTTGGTGGCAAGTTTAACAATCATCGCGCGCAGAAGTTCATCACTTCGACCCCTCCCCCCGCGCGCGATCGAAGCCTCAAATATCGCGAGGTCGACTACCGCTGGTCCCACCACTTCAATGCATTCCGACCTTCCCCATCCACATCGCCGTTCATACCACCCACGCCAAACGACACTGGCTATCCCCTCCTCCCGTATAGGCATCGTTGAGAGTTTACCGGACCCAGCCCGTCACCATCCGAGGAGCCAGCAGCCAGCCAGCCAGCCAGCTGCGCGGCGGCGGCCGGCGCACCTGGTAATTGATGAGGTTGACGACGGCGTGGCGGAGCATCTGCGAGGGCTCGGCCAGCCGCTGCACGGCCGTCGGCTGGCCGCGCTCGAACTGCGTGCTCGGGATCTCGAGGCCTTCGTCCAGCGTCTCCGGGAACATGGCGGCGCGCACGCGCTGCGAGCGCGTCTGGCTCAGCGCCTGGTTCATCTCTGCCGGCGACGGACGAGGTTGGGAGCGGGGGATGTCCCAGCCGGTCGGCCGGAACCAAGAGGTGCGAACTGGTCGGGCAGACAGCGACAGTTCTCAGCTATCAGCAACATACCGCGAATACAAACACTGAACTAGACGGCAAATCCTGAGCGCCGACAACCCCGCCTCGGACATGCATCTTGACATTCATAACGTTGCGCGGCTATCATCCGGGCGCCACAAGAGCCAGCGCCCGGCTCCAACGGCCTCCTATTCCGGCCAGTGCGGTCCCCATCCCACGGCTGCCGCCGCATACGCCCCGAGACGCAATTCGAGGTTAGAATGACGGATCACCTGAACCCAGTGCATGCAAACAGCACACGCTTGCGTGCCACCACACGGGCGGCGGACGCGACGCCCCACACCGCCATGTCGCCCTCCCGCTGTACCGGCGGCGTCGGGCGACGGCTGCGGCCCGCACCAGCCTTGCGCACGTACCATCGACCTGAGCCTGGCTGTAGCCGGCGTAGTTGGGGTCGTACATGCCGGCGCCGGTCTCCATGTCGTCCTCCTTGCCGGAGAGCGACGGCGCCTGGGTGGTGGCACCCGAGTTGATGCCCGAGTCGGCGCCGGTGCCCATGTAGCCGCCCTGCTGCCACATCTTGACGTGCTCGCTGCCGGACAGCTCCGGCGGCTGCTGGTACCCGGCAGAGCTGCGCCCTGCGGTCACACGCGGCGCCAGGTCCGGTCAGGTCACGGAAGGTCACACAAGGCGGGACTAGATCGCACAGGCTCAGCCCTATCACGCGGGCAGGTGACATCAGCGTAGCTGCATGGGGTCAGGCCACAGCAGTCATGTCGCGCATGTAGGCCAGGTTACCGTTCAGTCGACACACGCGACAGGCAGCGTGGCGACCCGCTATATGTTTCATGATAACATACAGGCCTTACGTCGCGCCGATTACTCCATTCATTTTGTGCCCAGGCTGTAGGTATTCTACAACAATGACATGTATCGGCAACAAGGAATATGCATCGTGCTCATCTCTGAAAACACGCGGGGTTACAGAAAGACGAAGCTCAGACAAGTGGATGCACAATAATGGCTCTCAGCGGCTCCGCCCTGCGCCCCTATCACTCCTGCTCTGGGCTTGCGGGGCACTCCTGCTCCGGGCCTACGGAACACTGAGTGTCCCTACCACCCAACAGACATTAACGGTGTAACGCAGTCCCGTATCAGCATAAACGCCCACCGCTTTGATAGGGAACACAGTTCATCTACGATACCCGATATGCGATACGATACGATAACGATACCAGAAAAAAGCAAAGCGAAACTGCACCTGCTGTGCCGTATCACGCCACGAGACTGCCTGGACGCTATCTTATCAGTCCCGGCTGAACTGATAAGAACATGAGCCCACCGCTAAGTGCGAAGACGGCAAAACTGCAGTAAACCCAGGGATCATGGGTGCTAGGTAATCGTTTTTTTGGTAGGGACACGGGCGTAAGGCATGTTTGAGATGGCGCATTATCAAACGTAATACAAACTATGCTATGCACAGATAAACCATATCTTCGACTGCACGTCGAGGAGTCTCAGGTTCGCTGCCCGGTCGTTGCTGTCTGTTTTTGCTCGTTTCGCGCAGAAACCCGCATGATCGCTTGTGACGTTAATGCCTAATCAAGGCTTGTGTTGATAGCTACTATAACGATCATATGATCATAAATCAGCGTGTGTAGTCCCGAGATTTCCCATTCAGTTCATGGAAACGGTCACTTTTCAAGGTACGTTAATAGCTCACGCACAATGACTAAACACGGCTGCCCGCGAACCGATGACCTCATGGCCACCGGAAATACTTCACACACACACACACACACACACACATATCTCAGACAAGCAGCCGTGCGACCGCAGCGGCGGCCCTGCCCGCTACAACAGACCGCCAGGACTGAGGGCACGATGGGCTTCCCAGACCGCCGCCACCTCCCTTCGAACCGCGTCACCCCGGCGCCCAGCACCCGCGCAGCCCTTTCCCCGGCACCTGACGCCGGCGCCACGCCCGCCCCGTCACCGGAGCCGGCGGCGGAGGCAGCATCCCGAGCGACCCTCAGCGGCCTTCCCCGAAGCGCCCGACCCCTGCGGCGGCCGGCCGGGCCGCACCGGCCAGCGGCCGGCTCTACCGCCGCGGTACCCGCCGACTCAGCGGCGCGCTTCCGGCCGCGTGACGTCAGCGGAGCGGCGCGGCCGGCACACATGCCTCCGCACGCGGCGAGGCACGGCAGCGCGCGGCACGGCGCGGCGCGTGCGGCGCGTGACCAGCCGAGCGGCGGACCGGCAGCGGCGGCGCACGAGCGCGGCCGGCGGGGAGGCCCTCTGACCGGCGGCGCGCGCTCCGACCCGGCCCGCCGAGCTCAGGCGACGCCGGGGCTGCCCGCCGGACCACAGACGCCGGATTCGGTGGAAGCGCCCTCGGATACGCGGGCAATGTCACCAGACAGCTGGCGGATTCTGACGCGGAAAAATGAGCGATGCCCTGCACCAACGGCTGGCTTGCAGGACCGGTGACAGTGGGAGTCGCTGGTTAGTGATATCATAGCCTTGCAGGCTTGTTGGAAATCGGCCAAGTGGGACGCATACCATTATCACGACGCAACAAGGCCAAGAGCCGCACGTCCGCAGCGCAAAACGGAAAAACGCGTGGGGCAAACTGTCCCAATGTCAAATGTCGCAAGTCTGAGATTACAGCTGTCTAAAAATGAGCATACCAACTCAAACGGTCATGCTGCAACCAACAGATAACACTATCCGACAGCTGCAAAAGTGAGCAAGACACCACGACCCGCACAGGCCAAAAGCTGTTCCGCACCGGCAGATGGAAAGGCCAGCTGAGGCGGCTCGCGTGCCCCAACGCGGCCCCTCCGAGACATCAAAGCGTGCGGCTGTGGCGCCGGACTCGGCTCGGCCCGTGTTCCGCGTCCCTCACACGGCCACGCGACATCACTCTCCGCTGCACCACCCGGCCGCCCTTCCACGAACGCGTGCACAGCTGGCAGACTCGGGACGGCGGAGGGCAGCGCAGGCATCTGACCTCGGCCACCAGGGCCGCAAAAGGTGCAGGTGACTGGCACCGTTCTGCTAGGGAATTTGCATCAAATAGTCAAGGCTCAGTTGTGTTTCTGACCATACATACGGACGTCGAGACATCACCGTACTGTGGTGTGTTGAGATTGTGTACGAAGTACTTTGCAAAGCTACTGGCATTCGGAAGGGGTGCCGATAGTGTAGTGGTTAACGCGTCTGCGTCAACCACTACACGTCTGGGAAGCCAGAAGTACGGGGTTCGATACCCCGCGGTGCCCGCCATTCCTGCCAGGGTGACAGGCAGGCGACGCCATATAGCCTCAGCAGCTGAGTACGTCGTTAAGTCCCAATGACACACACACACACACACACGCACACGCACACACACACACACACACACACACACACACACATGCGCACTGGCATTCCGATACTGCGTGTCAGCCATTGAAGACAGACGACGTAAGAATCTACGGTTTCGTTCCGCTGTTCAGCACGCATCACGTTCAATGTGTGTTCAATTTTCAATGTAATTTCAGGGTGGCCCTGAAACTTCACGTGCGCTGTAATCCCTACATTGCCTCCATGTCGACTCTGCCACGCTAAGACCATCAAGCACATCCCAGAGGCCAGCTAGATTAGGCAAAACAAGTACATTACACGGAGGCTTTGGACATGACAACCTATCATTACTGACGATTGAGATGTTCCCTGGAGAACAAAGAAAAAATAAATGAAATGAAATAAAAATATGCAGCATCGCCTCTGGACTGCATTACCCATCACCGCCGACGAGCGAGATGTTCCGCACACCAGCATGCCTCGCAAAATACAAAAATCAAGGGAAGCAACAGCTTCCCATAATGGAAAGACAGGTGTAATGTGCAAGTAAAACAGCCCCACACCACACATAGTCACCCAACCATTGCTCTTGTTTTCGCTCCACCTACGCTTCATATGCTTCGTCAATTACTAGCTATCGCACCCAAAGCCAACACCTCCCGCCTTTCACAGAAGAACCTCAGCATCAAGCGAGAGGGAGCCCGTTCCGCGAGCGACCGCGTCACACTCCCCCCCCCCCCCCCCCCATCCCCAATGTCCGGCCGCAGTATCGGCGGACCGATCGGAGCCGGTGGCGGCGAGGGTCCAACCACGACAAACACGGCGCCGGGCAGGGCCGATACATCCGCTGGCACTAACCGGCCCAGCGCTCTGCGCCGCGTGCCACCGTGAGCCTACAGTTGTCGTCGCCTAGCCCGCGAGCTGACGCCACAGTTGGTGAATACGTCGGAGATCGCTCTGCGGTGTGTGGGCGGGGGCGCCGCTTGTGGAGAGGAGCGGCACGAGCCACCTGGAGCACGCGACCCCAGGCAGCGACGAGGGCGCTATCGTTTCACTGGCTTGGCCACCAAACCCTAAGCTTGGCTGCTCAGAATGTCAGTTCCGCGTACCAAGAGTACCAGTTCCCGGTGACGCCCCCGTCTCTGCACCTGCATGCTCAGGCGAACGGCGGTGAGGCGTTGGTGTGGTACAGCTACCATGGCCTGCATCTTTTTAAAGCCCAAGTTGTAAAATTACGCTGATTTCCATAGACGTTTGTGTGGCATTGACACGAATGTCATACTGGGTTCTCCAATCACGTCCGTGTGAGCAGACTTGGTTCATGTTGGTGAACCTGCGCACCACAGCAAGGTCAGGGAAATACATTTTCATCCTTCATGTATCATCCAATATAGTGCTCACTTTCGGGCCCGCGAAACTGAGACCTGGTGCAAAACATGAAATATATTCACGTCCAATTTATGGTACGATTTTCAAGCCCCTTCAGAAAAATACACAAAATTTGTGTATCCCTCAGGCCATCAATCTGACATGTCCTGGTCACACATTTATTTGGTGGATGTCAGGCTATCGATTTTTGCTTCATAAATGCAGTGGTTTGCAGCTAACTTTCTCGTTTTACAATGTTTAGATTTACTCACAGCCAACTTGTCATTCAGGGTCGATCATGCCATACAAAGGTATACCAGGTTTCCAAGAAAGGTCACGCAAGGTTAAAGATTTCTTTTTCCATGTGCATCACAGGTGACCATTTGAATACCTCATGATTGGGGGATAAATTTGACCCTCTGATATCTCATACACTATGAAAGCTAGAGACACTGAATTCACAGGGTGAATTGACCTGTATCTGAACTCACTTAAGCCAAAATTTGAAGTTCCTTGATTGTGACCTTTGGGTAAGATATGGTCAAACCAGGTCAAACTCCAGATTGGTGTCCAACTTGTCTCACACCTCATGTAACTGCCTCAAGCTAAGACACCTGTTCTAAGCAAGGGGTCGCTGGTTTCAATTTTAGGTCAGTCTCAGGTCAACTTTAGGTCAATTTCAGGTGTTTGCCCTCTAGAAGAGCATGGTGATCAAAAACTTACAAGACTATTTTGAGCCTTTAGTGAATATCAGGGGTTACACTAAGCAGTATGTCCCTAACACAAAATGTTTGTCTGGGTCATTTTGAGTCAGTGATCTACTCTTACCTTTAAAAAGCCCATAGCATATGTCAGTTGCAGTCTTTTCATCACGAAATTCCCGATAAATGTCAGAAACTTCCACATCAAGCTAGCTCTCCATAAAAACAAGTTAGTTTGGACCCCAGCCTGACCTTTATACATGACCTGAGGTTAATGAAATTTGTCATCATACCAAATACAATCCTTCATTTAACTAAGAAATGGTCTGAGATGTATGGATTCATATAGCACTCCATTATCACATCAGATTACATAATTCCTTAGAATTCACCTTCACTGGCAGCTACAACCGAAACTTGACCTGCCATAGGTCAGCAATCATACAATGACATCTCATTTTTATACCAATATATCCACCATTCAACTACCCACAGCTCTGCAATGTTTGGCACGGCTAAGCTGAGCCTTCCGGAAATTTATTCTAGAAAAACATTCAGTGGGGGGGGGGGGGGGGGGGGCAAATTGACACACCACTTGAGCATGTCTTAAAGGGAATGTTCCACATTTGATGATGCTGAAGCAAGCAGCAGATATGATGAAACAAGCTCACTGATAACCTTTGGGATCTTTTTAAGTGAAAAAGACTACTCTAGACAAAACAGTTTCTCTGCTTGATGGATTACACTTTCCTTGGCTTTGATTGCCACATGGCCATTGAACAAGCAGGGTTTGAATGACATGCACATCCTTGCAGGCATGTAGGTCAGAGATTGGAGGGGTTTTGATCTAAAGGAGGGCAGGGCTGGGAGCTGCACCAAATAATTTCAACTCAGCCATTTCAGTCCAAAACTTGGTAAAAAGGTAGGGTCTATTTTAAGGGCAAATTACTGGGGGAGTATACCCTTACAGGTTCACATGCTTAAAAGAAAACATACATCAGTACTGCAAATCATGCATGGTTCCATATCACAGCCATTTTACTGGAGACAAACACATCTGGACTATGGGTCTATGAATGAGGTGACTAACAGTTCAGCAAGTTCAACATTGTCCATCCTGGCTGCTCATGAACAAAACATTCCCTGTACAAAGTGAATTCAATTATTCAAACCAGTACTTCTACAAAGTACACAAATTGTTGCACCAAATTAGACTAACTGCATGAATAATGTGATTCAGAAGAGAAGAAAACTGATCCCTGTCAAACTAAATGATATTACCCAACACCTGTCAATGTTGAAGCAAATGTCTTATCATATTGGATAGTGTTGTCATGCAGCACAACCACTAGCACAGATGGTCTTGAAAGTTGCAGGAGAATGTGTATTCCCAAGCAATTACATGTAATGCACATGATATGCTAAGTGATAGAGGCCTCCTTAATAATGATTTGATGATAGTGACCAGGGATATTGACTAACTTTCTTCAACCTGACACCTTAGATCATGATGAAGCAGCAAGCACATAGCTTAAAGCACTCAGAGCAGCAAGCACCCACAGCATATTGCAATTTATATCAGGTTGGCTTCCAATCATTCATGCAAAACTCACAAATGTCAGAAATATGGGAAAAATATAACTATTCAACTACAAACAGGAATATCATATAAGATAACACATGCACTACCAAAAATAAATTGCATGCATTAAAAAAAATAATGGCCAAGAATACAGCTACAGGCTGAAAACAGCCTAGAGCCATCTGACTGTCCATAGCTTGCAAAACTGCTCTGCTGTAAGACTAATCTGCAAATTACTGATACTCAAAGCATACCACAAGAGCAAACACCATGCATTCCTTCCCATTAGGATGATAATTCCAGTAGCTCTTCTACTCTATGGCTATTCTAAATAACTCACCTGGGCGGGCCTGCTGCTGCATGAAGCTCATGTTGATTATGTCAAAATCAAGTCTGCAAAAGAAAAAACACAAACAGATGACATAGTAGCCTTTAATCAATTTCACTTATACTGGTATATTCACTTTAACAAGCATAATGAAATAAAGCATTTCAAAACTATTTAAAAGGAAATGAGCTGTAGCCACTCATGGAGGAAGAACATCATTAATTACAACACATGTCAATTTGAATCTGAGGCTGATAAAAACCATGCTAGGAAAAACAAGCTGATTAAAAATACAGATTTTAATGGCTGCAACATAGCTGCATTCCTATGGCATGTTCATATATTTCATGTTACACCAATTTGGTGGAAAATAAGGTGTAGTAACTAGGATCACACATAATAACTTAACAAAATTTCTTGCTACATGGCACTCAGAGGCCACTATGACATATGGAATGGAAGGCCTCTCAAAATAAGTGCTGGAAAGAGAGCACAACCAGTCTCCCTGCAACCTTGGGAACAATGCTATTTCCAAAATCAATATGCACAACCATAATATATGTACACAACATACACTTCTTGGACAGGTATTTGAGAAGCAAATGGTCATGATTAACACATGGAGGATAAGTTGACTTCCCCTTCTGAAGTACTTAAGCTCTGAGGTATGGCACCTCAGCCCAAGTTACAACATTCAATGCTAATCCATGCTATGGGCAGAGTTCAACTGTGGATGTTGCAGCATCCTCAACATTTCACAAAAAATCCCATGAAGTTTGTGATGCTGCATGGAACAAATAATTCATCACCTCTGTTTGCATCCCCCAATGTAAATATCTGGTGAAGTTCTGCTTTTGTGCATACCATGCTAAGGGCCTGCAGAAGGCAGGTATCCGTCCCTGAAAGATCAACCCACTTCAAGTATATGGCAAAACGTGTAACAGCAAAAACAAACCGTCCGGGTGAACGCATTGTGGCCACCCGATTTTTTTACCTGTCCCGTCAAACGCCGACGTCAGTTGAAGTCGGCGGCACCGCCCGCAGACCAGTACCTTTCCCTCACAATTCCTTGATTAGTACTGGCACACGCTCTGTTCAATTCATCCACAATTTCCAAGAAGCACTATATCACCACCCTGAACCGACAAGGTGCACCACCCGCCTTCACTTATAATGACCGCTCGAAGGCAGCCCCTCTAGCTGTCGTTTTCGTGTCGATAATAACAAAGATGGCGTTGCCCGAAGCCTTGGACATTTTGCCTGCCATCTAGCGCTACAAGCTGAAGCTAAGTTTCAAAATATTTTCACTGGAATGACAGTTCAAAGGTATAGTGTAGTGGCCTCTAGCGCTTAGAATCTAAAGCATTAGTATGCAAAATGGACGTAGGGCCGGCTTCGACCCATCGATTTATTGCAGCGATTTACGCGGGAAACGCTTGCGTCGTGTTTCTGGCGTAATTCCGCCGCGTTTTGAATTTAAAAGTGGGTGGATGTGGTCAGTGTGGTTGATTGTTTACGTTCGCTGGGCTGGCATGTTTCAACGTGGTCTGCTGAGTCCGTGGAGCTGAATTTCGTAGTGTACTGATTATATTCTGTGAGTGTACCATAGAATATTGTGGAGGGCGCCAACTTGTTACCTCTTTTGAAATAGGTTGGTGGGGTAGGTCAGCAACGTTTCTAGATCTAGAAGGAATGGACCTGTTCAGACGTGTTGCAACTTTGGATGTATGGATGAAACAGGCAAACATCTAGCTACTTTTGATCTGTTCACGGTGTGTGCCTAGGTAACATCATATGTCAGGCACATGGGAGGGGTGCAAACTGACATGCCCCCATCATTCAACACAAAGTTGGGCAAAAATGACATTTCATGAATTTGATGCAGATATAATCAGTGTTGATCTAGGAAAGTATATTTAAGAACACAGCAGCCAAAACAATCATGCCATTGAGTTTGTAAATTGGAGCACCTGGATGTAAGCTCCTCCCAAACTGAGTGTTTGCACCACCCTAGGCAGTATTCTAGATCTGTCCATGATGCCATAGGCAAAGTGACAGCTAGCCTGCCTGCTAGCTAGCCTGATTTGCACAGGCCCAGCACAGCACACTGCAAACACATCAGGTGCTCTTATACCTTATGCTCAAGATTTACCCTTAAACATTCCTGACTAATATATTTTTGCTAGATGTGCTTTCAAAGCAGGATGTGGGGTGAATAGTGTATGATGACTGGCTCTGTTATGCTGTTTAAGCTGTACACTTGATCTGCTGATTTTGTTTGTGGTGCCATTGAATGTTTTTGGTATTATGATATTTTGTATGCTCCAACTACAAATTATGTGGTGAACAAACCTTGGCCACAGATGAAACAGCATCAGGGCATACTCAACTTTGCAAATCTGAGAATGCTCTCAGAACACTGGCTCAGGTCTCAGATGCAATTTCATTGATTTGGTACTCATAATGGTATTCTCACCAGGTGTAATGTCAGAGGGTAAGTGGCTTAGTATAAGGTGACCAACATTGCATACATATGAACCATTCCACCATGTAACAACATGCTTGACTCATACCTGAAATGGAAACATGTATGATAAGCCCCGATCTGCACCAAGTACATTGCACGTGAAAACCAACAATCTGTTCCGCTTCAGGTTTATAATCAAGACATGGACCAGAACCCCATCGTGGTGCAGTCTCCTGTCACACCAAGACGATTAGGTCAGTACTGTTCATTCTCCACCATCTGGATGTGCTGGGAACATAAAATCATGTGTATGTGTTTGTGTGTGTGCGTGCGCGTGCGCGTGCATGTGCGTGTGTGTGTGTGTGTGTGTGCACTAGCATGGGTGCCCTCTTCCTCCAACTGAGTGCTTGTCTTCTGCACACTGACCCTGCATGGCATGCTGCTTTCTCTGCTGACCAGTGACGTCACTCGTGCTCCGCCGCAGCGTACATCCCGGAGCCGCCGGAGTCGGCCGGCTCGGTGCCGACGTCCAGCTGCCGCACACCCATGTCCGAGAGGCAACAGCTGGCGCTTCTGCTGCAGATGACGTCACCAGGTCAGCCTGCGGCCGGTGACGCCGCCCCGTCGACGGTTGACGGGCGCTGACAGCCCTTTGGGCGGCCCGAACCACTCTGGGTAGTGCTAGGCACCTGTGATCTGCCTTTGTGCTGCTGCAGATGACAGCTGTTGGTGACCCTGCTAGTCAACGCATATTACGTCTGAAGTCATAATCGCCGCCGTCCGCGGCGGGAACCGTGATCAGTGACGATCCTTATGGCCTGAATCGAATACGGGCCTGCTGAGCCTGAGCCCAACTCCCTTACTTACCACCGGGAATATTGGTTACCTGCAGTGTCTTCTGCGGGCCCGGTCGTTGTAACAACGAAGGCTGGAGCTCCTTACGGCGCGGTCAGGTCAGAGGTCAGATCAACGGCCCCTCGGCCCGTTCGCTGCAGCTGCACCAGGACTGCCTGGAATTCGTATACGCGGGCGGGAGCACTGCCTTCGCCCCGGGTATGGCAGGGTTACTGGCTTGTTTCGCTGACGTCGGCCGGCGCTCTGGGTGCAGTCTAACACGTTGCATGTTCGACTGCCGGGGGGTTACAGTACATGGCCGGCACATAGGGTAAGTTATTACAGTACATGGCCGGCACATAGGGTAGGTTATTACAGTACATGGCCGGCACATAGGGTAAGTTATTACAGTACATGGCTGGCACATAGGGTGAGTTATTACAGTACATGGCTGGCACATAGGGTGAGTTATTACAGTACATGGCCGGCACATAGGGTAAGTTATTACAGTACATGGCCGGCACATAGGGTGAGTTATTACAGTACATGGCCGGCACATAGGGTGAGTTATTACAGTACATGGCCGGCACATAGGGTAGGTTATTACAGTACATGGCCGGCACATAGGGTAAGTTATTACAGTACATGGCTGGCACATAGGGTGGGTTATTACAGTACATGGCCGGCACGTAGGGTGAGTTATTACAGTACATGGCCGGCACATAGGGTAAGTTATTACAGTACATGGCTGGCACATAGGGTAGGTTATTACAGTACATGGCCGGCACATAGGGTAAGTTATTACAGTACATGGCCGGCACATAGGGTAAGTTATTACAGTACATGGCTGGCACATAGGGTGAGTTATTACAGTACATGGCCGGCACATAGGGTGAGTTATTACAGTACATGGCCGGCACATAGGGTAAGTTATTACAGTACATGGCCGGCACATAGGGTGAGTTATTACAGTACATGGCCGGCACATAGGGTGAGTTATTACAGTACATGGCCGGCACATAGGGTGAGTTATTACAGTACATGGCCGGCACATAGGGTGAGTTATTACAGTACATGGCCGGCACATAGGGTGAGTTATTACAGTACATGGCCGGCACATAGGGTAGGTTATTACAGTACGTGGCCGGCACATAGGGTGAGTTTTTGAGCTGATGCGCGCGTCAGTCGCAACGGTGGCCAATACGTATAGTGACTGGACATACAGCGGATCCACAGTGGATCGTCGATGAGCGCAAATGATATCCAACAGGACATACGAAGGCAACTCACCGATGCCTGTCACGTGGTGTGAGACCGCGTGGCGGGATGGGAGTTCGGTTTGATGGGAGGAGCACAGCGCGAACGGCGAAGTGGGACGAGAACACACCGCACAGCTGTGCGATGTACCGACCGCGATGTCCTTCGCTGCGAGGATCGTCACACCGTACGGCATGACTTGCTAGGTTATGCCCACCTCGCTTTGGAACGCACGTGGTGTTTCGGACCAGAGTCCGTGCGCCACACTCTTTGGCATTTTGGGAGATAACTCGAGTTTGGTAAAGGACGGTCATGTTTTCAATTTCTAGAAAATATGCAATTCTGTGCCATATATCTGACCCAACCTTGTATCCCTACTATTATCACTACTCTGTTGAACGGGAAATAAGTCATCGGGCCATATGACCGGGGTGGTCTGCGCGCCCTAAAGCCCAAGTTATCATCATCATCACAAATGTGTTGTATCGGCTACCTTTGATTCCCACGTCTGTTTGTGTGCTGTTTCGCCGCTCCTAACAAAGGCGCTGCGTAGCCCGCAGCCCGTCCACCCTGTGAACGAGCGTCAACGGAACTTGAGTTGACTCAGCTGGACCCCTACCCAATGATGATCCGCGCAATGCAGATCATCGTCATCCGTCACAGTTTAATGAGGGAGGCGTGACAATTCATTGACACTCCGACGCGCTCGCTGCCAGCTCCGTTTTCCCGGACTTGACGGGGTCAGAGTCCGACACATGACGTGCTGACACCTGACAGACGCCTGTTGAATTAACCCGCCGACAGCTGCCACAGAAGCTGCATTTTCGGGGCTGTCGGGCGCGTGCCATTAGAGCCGGGCGCGGCGGCCTGTCCGGCGACGCCGCTCCAGTTCGCTCCTCGGCCGGACAGGCCGGGTTCGGCGGCTCTGGAGCGACGTCGCTCCAGTTCGCTCCTCGGCCGGACCAGCCGGGCGCAGCGGCCTCTCGGGCGACGTCGCTCTAGTTGGCGCCTCGGCCGGCCGCGTCGCTGGCATCGCAGCCTCTGTCTCCGGTCGGTGACATAGGGCTCCGCCGCGTCGCAAGGGCTCATGCCTGACGCGTGCCTCACAGAGGCAAATGAGAGTGAGTCTCGCACGCTTCGCTACAGCGGCGCGCGGGGCGAGCGGACCGAGGACGCTCGCGTCCTATCTGAGTGTACCTCGGGCGCCCCGCGGCGCCGACGGGGCTTGCAGTCGCGAGCCGACCGGAGGGAGAAAGTCCGCACCCCACTGGCTGACCGTGACGGTGTTGGCAGCCCACTTAGTGCCGGGGCCGTTACACCCCGCCTTTGTCATCTTGGCAGTGAAGTGGGGAATGATCGTCCGTGCCGCTTAGGTGGAAGGGCGTTGGAGACGGACCAGTGGCTGGCGGATGTGGGGGCGCGCGTCCCAGAAGCAGCGCTGCTGTAGATCGTTATCGTCGCTCGAGTGGTAACTGGTCGGGGAGGTCTGGCTGAACCTGTGGAGCCTTGTCAAGGGTTATCGTCGCTCGAGTGGTAACTGGTCAGGGAGGTCTGGCTGAACCTGTGGAGCCTTGTCAAGGCGTTGCGTGGCGCGTTGAAACACGTCGTCAGAAATGGTTTGTCGAACTGGCATTTTCATCCTGGTGTCGTGGGGCCGCCGTTGTCGCGATAAACATGCTTAGTGAGGCTCCTGATCTCAAAACGGGCCCTGCGGAACATTCGGTCTGGTAAGGAATAACCGGCTGCTGCTAGTAAGATCCCAAATTTGTCTAAGCGGGCGTCGGCCCGGAGCCCTCCCAGCTTTGCGGTGTGTTCTCGTTCCGCCCCGCTGTTTCTGCTGCGCTCCACTTCTCAAACCGAACACCCATCTCGCCTTGCGGTCTGGTCCACTGTTGGTCCACTCTGCCTCCGTGGGAGACGTTCGCCTGCCGTTCCGCTCCGCCGCGTGGGCAGCGTCACCCGCTCGCGGTGCGTGCGACCCGTCCCCAACGCCGATGAGCCGATATCGCCGGGTGCCCGCTCCGGGGCACGTGGGGCCGACAGAGGGGACGGCAGTGGGGTACCGTGCCAGCGGATGGGAGATGGAGGTCACCGACGGAGCAGTCATGCAGTCACGTGGCGGTGAGCTGTTATGTAATGTCCCCCACGGTCGTTATACCTGTCTCCTGCGACCAGTTTTTCTCCCTGAACGAACTGGGTGATTTGCGCGTCACTTTCGTGGTATTGAGGTCTGTGGTGGGAAAGTTGAATCGTGAGATGTCAACAAGAATGAACAGGATTTTTTTTTTTAAAACAGCGCTCCGTTAACTACGGATTGTCTTAGTCAAGCCTGGCAGATACAGGTTCCTGTGAGCCAGCGCAAATGTGTTAAGCTTTCACTAGGCCCAAGTTGCGCTGGAGCTGAAGGGGCGGATGGGAATTATGGTGCACATTACTCAGCACGGCTGCCATCCCCACTGATCATCCGAATGATCAAACCAGTACAGCGACCATCCGCACTGATCATCCGTATGATCGGCCCAGCACGGCTACCACCCCCACTGATCATCCGTATGATCAGCACAGTACGGCTGCCACCCCCACTGATCATCCGTATGATCAGCCCAGCACGGCTGCTACCCCCACTGATCATCCGTATGATCAGCCCAGCAAGTCGATCACCCCACTGATCATCCGTATGATCAGCCCAGCACGGCTGCTACCCCCACTGATCATCCGTATGATCAGCCCAGCAGGTTGATCACCCCACTGATCTTCCGTATGATCAGTCCAGCACGACGACTACCCCACTGATCATCCGTATGATTAGCCCAGCAGGTCGATCACCCCACTGATCATCCGTATGATCAGCCCAGCACGGGAGCCACCCCCACCGATCATCCTCTCGAGCCACTTCGGAACACGCGGGCCATGTCGCTGGTGCGCGTGCTGCTGCCAGGGCCACCCTTGTTGGACCTCGCCTGCCGGTGTTGTGCCGCCTTCGCCACTCGCCGTGCGGCGCAACTCCCGGCAGAGCGGAGCGCGGGGAGGAGCAGAGCGCGGAGCCGGGAGCGAACGCAGGGCGAAATGTGGTAGCTGCCACGCCATCACCCCATCATCAGCACAGAACCGCCACCGGCCCTTCGTGGTCGCGAGCAACAGGCGGCGTGAGACTTCAGGCGGCGTTTGGGACGCGACGTCGGAAAGTTTAGGTGTAGTGTGAAGACAAATGTGGTTCGGATACGTTGCGCGGACTTTGATGCCGGAGAGGGGGGGGGGGGGGGTATTCTCGCCATACAGCAGAGGGTGGTGGTGAAATGTGTGGAGGATTTGTGGAGGTCCGTTTCTTCACTGCATGAATGTCTCGTCTGGGCGTGACTCACCTTTATCCGGGTCTTCCACGAACGTCTGGAAAACGCTGGGGAAACTCCACATGGTGAAGTGGCCGGAATACGCACATTTCAGGGGGATGGGAGGGGTTCCTTGGAAACTTATGTAGCCCCTGCCACGCCATCACCCCCATCA